ACAACCGTTGTAAATGCAAGCCAACTGCCAAGAACCACAATTTTGATCATGTGACCCTGGGACTCTGCAATGGTTAAGCACGAGGGCTGGCCGTAACTTACTTTTTTGAGTGCCACTGTGACTTTGAGTGGTCATTAAATGAATAATCATAAATTGAGGACTACTTACAAACAGACATCTTTGGAATTCTTTCCTAATTACGTCTCTGCTATCTTTGTATGCCCATTTACTGATTCTAGTCTAGTCTAGAAGCCTAACCCAAAATCCAATCACTTCTCTCTTTATTTCCTTTATCTGAAGATTACAACCTCTCTCTTCCAACTTAAGAGAAGCTACTTAGTCACTGGATAGGGTTAAGCCATCCTCCGGCCATTAACACCATAGTCCCCAGCTTGTCATGTCTTCGATTCTCTTGGGAAGAGCAATGTTGAAGCTAACAAGCTAATGTCAATGTGTGACTGAATGGGTCCAACTCAACAATCAGCATTAGTATACACTCAAGCCAGGAGAGAGAGCAGAGAAAAATAAAAGAGAGCCTGAACTGAGGGATCCTTGGTGCTCTCTGAGCTTGCTTGTTTTTTTTTTAACAGATGTTTCATTACCCAAACTAGGCAACATCATCAGTGCTAATCACTAGCACTAATGATGTTACCTAGCTTGTTAACAAAATGTCTGCAAGAAAACAATCAAGCTTAGAGAGCACCAAGGACCCCTCATTTCAATCCTGAGCTTCCAATATTCTCCTTTATTAGAGCCTGAATTATATTTAAGTGTTATGACAGCCACCACTGTCATTAGACAGGCTTTGCAGCGAAGAATGAAAAGGTGTGAGAATTTTGAACAAGTAAGGCGTGTTCAAGGGGCTGCCACAAAGAATAGGGAGTCAACCTCTTCTCCAAAGCATCTGAAGGCAGGACAAGAAACAATGGATGGAAACTAATTAAGGAGCGAACAAACCTAGAACTAAGGAGGAATTTCCTGACAGTGAGAACAATTAACCAGTGGAACAACTTGCCTCCAGAAGTTGTGGGTACTCCAACACTGAAGGTTTTTAAGAAAAGTTTGGACCACCATTTGTTTGAAATGGGTTTCCTGCCTGAGCAAGGAGTTGGACTAGAAGACCTTCAAGATCCCTTCCAACTCTGTTATTCTGTTAATTTTTAGGATAGGCAGTTTTACAATGCTTTGGGTAGGCTTCTTCATCAGGTACTTCCAAACATCTTGGATTACTAGCACAGGATGGTTGGAGTTCAATACATTAGGATGCACACTGAACAGGCTTGCTTTCCTCTCCCTACCAAAAGAAGCATCTGTTGCAAAGAGCCCCAAAGGGCTACTATCACTTGCCAAATGGAAGAGCTCCTCTTCCAATTTGACAGGAGGTTAAAGTGCTGAAGAATGAATAGCTCATCCACAGAGGAAAATATAAGAGCATATGACAAGCAGGATAAGGCAGCCAAGTATATACCACAGGTGAACTATAATGCTAAATCCTAGAACAGTGTCAAACTGCCGGCCTACAGGCCGGATGCATCACGCTGAAACCACACCCACCCCATTGTCAGCAATGGGGAAAAAGTCGTGATACGCCACGACACGTCACGTGATGTTGTGAATTTGACACCCCTGTCTTAGAAACCCCCCTAAATAATAATAATAATAATAATAATAATAATAATAATAATAATAATAATAATAATAATAATAATAATGTTGGAAGGGACCTTGGAGGTCATCTAGTCCAACCCCCTGCTCAGGCAGGAAACCCTATACCATGTCAGACAAATGACTGTCCAGTCTCTTCTTAAAAACTTCCAGTGTTAGAGCATTCACCGCTTCTGGAGGTAGGTTGTTCCACTGGTTAATTGTTCTAACTGTCAGGAAGTTTCTCCTTAATTCTAGGTTGCTTCTCTGCTTGATTAGTTTCCACCCGTTGCTTCTTCCTTCTCAGGCACTTTGGAGAATAGCTTGACTCCCTCTTCTTTGTGGCAACCCCTGAGATATTGGAACACTGCTATCATGTCTCCCTTCATCCTTCTTTTCATTAAACTAGACATACCCAATTCCAGCAGCCCTTCCTTATATGTTTTAGCCTCCAGTCCCCTAATCATCTTTGTTGCTCTTCTCTGTACTCTTTCTAGAGCAGTGGTTCTCAACCTGTGGGTCGGGACCCCATTTGGGGTCGAATGATCATTTCACGGGGGTCACCAAACCATGCTGTCCGCCATTTTTTTCCTTTTTCCCTAACTGTCCTACTCCCTCTTATTGGTGGCCACACCCACTTGGGGGTCACCACAACATGGGGAACTGTATTATGGGGTCACGGCATTAGAAAGGTTGAGAATCACTGTTCTAGAGTCTCAGCATCTTTTTTACATCGTGGTGACCAAACCTGGATGCAGTACTCCAAGTGTGGCCTTATCAAGGCCTTGCAAAGTGGTATAAACACTTCACATGAGAGGGTTAGATAAGGGGGCAAGGAGACCCCACCATCACCTCTTTGTTACATTTAGCTGCTTAAGAACTTGCATTTTTTTTTTTTTATCACAATGATGTTTCATTGCTTTAAGCACCAAAAGCAATCTGGCAAATACAGTAATTCTCCAGTAAGGAACAAAACATCAAGCAGCCAAGCAAACTCTCCTAGGAAACAAAACATCACTTAGTTAACTGTGGAGGAAGATGTCTGAGCTCTGCAGCACCCACCCGCAACCACAAAAGGAACATAACGCTTCCTGCCGTTGCTAACAGCCATATAAAAATTGCTCATCGGGAAATCTATCCAGGCAAGGGCTGAATGATAGCCATATCAGCCTCACTGTTGTTTGACTACAGGTAGCTCTCGACTTATGACCACAACTGAGCCCAAAATTTCCACTGTTAAGCAAGGCAGTTGTTCGGTGAGTTCCGCCTCATTTTGCGACCTTCCTTGCCACAGTTGTTAAGTGAATCGCTGTTAATTAGTAACAAGGCTGTTAAGTGAATCTGGCTTCTGCATTGATTTTGCTTGTCAGAAGGTAACAAAAGATAATCACAGGACCCGGGACACCGCAACAACCATCATAAATACATGAGAGCGGCTAAGCATCCTAACTCTGATCAAGACCGCGAGAACACTTCTTTTTCCTTTTCTTTTTTTTTCTTTTCTTCTTCTTCTTCTTTTTTTATTGCATAACTTTGTTATTAATAACCCTGTACTCCACTCTGGGAAGTGAGGGGGGGGTTGAGGGTGGGTGGGTGGGTGAGTGGGTGGGTAAGGATAATATAGATATGGTTGTTTATGAGAGAGGTGCTGCTTGGGCATTTCCCCTATGCTGCGTTCATGTGCTTGAGAGGGATGAGAGGGGAGGAAGGTGCAGGGAGGAAGTAGGATGGTAAGAGGAGAAGGGGAGGGGAAGAGAGTAGGAGGGAAGGAGAGAAAGAGGAGGGAAGTAGGAAAGGTATTAGAGAGGGTGGACGCAGCCTGGAGGGAGTGAGCAAGCGGTACCAATGGTTACGAATTTATTTTATCTTGTAAATTGTATTTTGTATGTTGAATAAATGGAAAATAAAAACTTTTTATTAAAAAAAAAAAAGACCACGAGAACACTGCAATGATCGCAAGTTTGACGGTCATAAGTCCGTTTTTTTCAGTGCTGTTGTAAGTTTGGAGACTGCCCAGGGGAGCACAGCCAGTAACAGAACAACCAGGAGGTGAAACACCCTCCTAGATGTTGTCACCATTTCAATGGGGCTCTTATGGATCTTAAACAGGGGTCTTCAAACTTGGCCCTTTTATGACTTGTGGGCTTAAAGCGTGCCTGGCTGAGGAATTCTGGGAGTTGAAGTCCATAAGTCATAAAAGGGCCAAGTTTGAAGACCCCTGATCTTAGCCCAGAACTACGATGCCAGTGGCTGATACTTTGTTTTCAAAGATGCTTTATTAAAAACCAACAGGAACATCTGAGTACCCATTCCTGCAGCTGCTATCTTACCTACCTCTCCTTTAGGGAAGCTTGCAGCATTCAAGCCATCACACTAGCTAAGTGATATAGTAAGAATTTGTTCAGTCACTAAGTCATGTCCGACTCTTCGCAACCCCGTGGACCATAGCACGCCAGGCCCCCTCTGTCCGCCACTGTCTCCCTGAATCTGCCCAAATTCATGCCCACTGCATCCGTGACACCATTTAACCCTCTCATCCTCTGCTGTCCTTTTCTCCTTTTGCCTTCAATCTTATCAACATTGTAAGTCCTCTCTTCTCATTTGGTGGCCAAAGTATCTAAGCTTCAGCTTCAGTATCTGTCCTGTCTTCCTCAGCAAATGTGTGGATTGTGCATTCCCTTTCTTTTCTTTCCAATGTAAATTCCTTCAGTCTTTCCTTAATAGTTTTTTTATTATTATTATTTTCAGTGCTAATTAATTCTGGGTTGCTTTGTTGGCTGTGTATTGTGCATTTCCTTCAAGAAGTTGGGTTATACATCTCACCCCTATGCTGGAAATGTAAAACAGCAACAGGTTCATACTACCATATGTGGTGGGAATGCCCAAAGACTCGTGAGTATTGGAACAGGACACGAAACTGGTTGAGGGATATATTGACACTGGAGTTAGAGTTAAAACCTGAACTCTTCTTGTTGGGAATAACGACAGAAAAATACGACAAGGGAACAATCTACCTGCTGCTACACATCCTGACTGCAGCTAGGCTTGCTTTTGCGCAAAAATGGAAGAGCAAGGAAATTCCCACAGAGGAAGAGTTAATACATAAAATATTAGCATGTGCGGAAATGGACAGGCTCACAATGATATTAAAAGATAAATGTGGGTCAGTTTATTATGAAACCTGGGATAAATTTTACCGCTGGAGGAATTAGAAGAGGACAGTCGGGATTAAAGATGAATGTTAAGATAGAAATATATGTTATTTTAGAACAAGTATTGTATATAAAACTTAGATGTATATGTAGAGATGAAAAATTGATTGTAAAAAGTGGAATAATCTGATAAGAATGTATATATTGGAATGTCACGTTAAATCCAATTTGTTTGTTTTTAGCAATAAAATTTGTATTAAAAAAAGAAGAAGTTGGGTTATACGTGGCTTGTTCCAACACACTCAGTCTTATTACTTACAACAATTACCCATCATACAAATCACACAAAGATTGTCAAGGCTGAGTCGTTTGAACTGGGGTTCCCTCACCTGTCTAGCTCCCTGCTATGCCACACTGGGTTTTGCTCATGACCAACTTTGGTTGCCTTGACGCTAAGCCACAAAGTGGTTGATTTCATCTTTTGGTTTGGTGTGATAATCTAGCCATCGTGGCTTTGTATTATCTCTAATCAGACCACTGTGGCTTCTTTAGCAAATTGTAGCAAAAATTAGAAACAATAAGGATTTAGATGCATTAGAACTGAATATATCCCTTTGAAACTATAATTAGGAAAGCATAAAGCATGGTTGAAGCTGTTAGTCATAATTAATTAAATCCTGACTTAAGAAGCAAAGATATAGCTGCTCTTTAAATGCTAATACATACCCTCTACGCTTCACGGTTCCCATGAGAAAGTAACAAATCCAGGAGGACTTGGTAATAATATCCAAAGCTATAATGTCCAAAGCTATGTTGTATAGCTTCTAAACAAGTTACTCTTTTTTAGAAATCATTAACCATGGTTCCTTGTTCTCATGTAACCGAAATCTATATATTTAAGTGCAATTTCCTGGCTTCTCCAATTTAAATAAAAGGAGAAGTAACGGGGCTTGCAGGCTCCTGCAAAAAGCTCATGCATATTTGACTTTACAAAGTAGGACTGCGAAAAGTGCTAGAGCACTTGCCGAATGGAGTTGAAGTCCACATGCCTTAAAATTGTCAAGGTTGAGAAACGTGCTAGAGAATTCCTGGAAGCCCTGACACTCAGACAAATTGGCCATCAATGGGTACATAGAGATAAACAACATCTACATGCCATTCAAAAGAGACAAACAAAAAGCTAAAAGACCACACACCTCCTGGCCAGCAATCAACACCCAGATAGGCAGAGATTAACTCCAAGATTAATACAAGACCAACAATGAATAATACCTCAATCAAGGAAGTACCAATGAGCTAACAGTAAATAACGGGTTAATCAAGGAAACACCACCAAGACTACTCCCATCAACACTGACAGGACAAGACACTGGTATATACAAGGAGAGCAAATCCCTCTCTCTTCTAGCACTGATGACATTACCTAGTTTGGTAATGAAATGTCTGCAAGAAAATAATCTTAGAGAGCACCAAGGACCCCACAAGAACTGTGACTGTCAAAACCAGATCAATTCGAAAACACACCCACCCTAATCTTTATTAAGATTCTTGAAAGAAAGCTGCGAGAGATGAATGATATTCTCATAAGTAATGCAAGGAAATGATGCAAGCAAGCAAGTAGAAAATCCTTTGTCTTGTAAGAGAAAAAAATAGAAATACATAATGTATAGTTATGCTAACATTTTTCACTCAACTTCACAAATAGCCTCTTGATTCCTCCTGCTGTTCTTAACTTTTTGGCAGGAATTTTGGTGTTCTCTCTTTCGTCTGTGGAAACAGCTACACTGACATGTTTAAATATTTCTTAATTTGAGGGGCTTCCGGTGTTGTCCACTGATAAACTTCCTCTTTATGTCAGGCTAAGATCCTTTTGCAATATATGCAAACCACCATACCATTTAAAGTGTTTTGCTGCAGTCTCACTTCCCTGATCTTCTAACACTAAAAGCTAATGCTATAAACAAGAGATTAAATATTGCAGGAGAAATCCCAAAGGTAAGACAGACCTATACTTCTTTTGCTTAAAAAAATCCTCAAAACAAAGAAAGGACAACAAACTAATATGAAAAAAATAGGTTGTATCTCAAAAAATGTTCATGCTTTACTCCTCTGAATAGCAATTTAATTGTCATGTGTTTCCTGCCACATGTAAAATATATTAAAATAAGTTACTTTCTCAAAATTTCATATTGAAGTCTGTTTTGAGACTGGGACTTTCAGTTGGTTAAATTCTAGTACTAGGATCCAAATTAGAGAATTAGATCTTAGATTTGTTTGTATGTAATGTTCAGTGCAAATAGAAGCATAAAAATGGACGGTAAGAAACTCATAATTTCTGAAGTCAGCCATCTCCCTTCAAATTTTACCTTGTTCTGCAGATGGGGTTACAAATGCAAATTTTAATTTTTTAACAAGACTAAGCAGAAATTCAATAGTTTCCATATGTGGTGTTCCTTTAACTGCAAGTCACACCATTTATAGCAGAATTTTATACGTGTTTATTCAAAAGGGTGTCCCAAGTTCAGTTTTGGGAATGTCAGGATTAGTTGTTTTGAAAGGCAGACCATTTGAACTGCAGAAAAAAAGACCCGGGCTTCTTCAGGTGTAGGTGGCTAACTAATATAAGCTTAAAAATAAAAATATAAATACATAAATGTGATTTTACACATTTATGTATATATTTGTATATACATCCATCTCATTCCTGAATGAATCTAAACATTGGAGCCATCTCTTTTTAATCAAGCTCTGATGTGAGGCACTAATTGTTTTATATCTTTATATCTGTTTGTTGTAAATGGCAAATTACCCAACGCAAGAAAAAAAGTCTTGCTCTATTCTTATACTTATTTTGCACCCATGGGGGGGGAGCCAACTTTCATGCCTAAAGTGGGACTAGAACTCACAATCTCCTGGTTTCTAGACCAGTACCCTCACCACTAGATCAAGTTGCCTCTCAAAAGATCAATGTCCTTTTGGTCTTTTACTGAACAGGTACAAGATGGGGCTATGTCTGTTTATTTTTAATGTGGTCCCAAATTTGTAGAATAACAGAGCTGGAAGGAACCTTTGAGAATTTTTAATCTGCTCAAGCAAGAGACACTATGGAATTAATTCAGGTTTTTTAAATATATATATATATATATATATATATATATATATATATAGTTCTACCTTTTCTTTCTTTCACAACAATTCTCATTTCGGTGTAAATTTGCCTTTTACTAATTGCTGTACTTTTAGTTCCATTAAAATTATTAAATGTATGGAGCAGAGGTCCCCAACCTTTTGGGCACCAGGGACTGGTTATGTGGAGAGAGGTTTTTCCACACACCAGGTGGTGTGTGGTTCTGTGTGCTGCCTGCATCCTGCGGATGGGGCTTTGCTTGTTTGTGCGGACCGGTTGTTGGCATGCTGCCGCCCGGTACCGGGCCATGGACTGGGGGTTGGGGACCCCTGGTATGGAGTATATGCTTGGGTAGGTTGCCCGTACAAGCATTTTCCCACTCCTACAAATGTACATTTTTTTCTGTAAAGCCTTCATTTTTATTTGCATTATATACATTTAAGGACATAGTCTCCTTAACTTATATTTTATACTGTACATTTTGTTTTATTGCTTTGGTCACCAGGATGAAGGATGGCTAAAAAAAAGATGTCCATAAATAAATGTGTTGTACACTGAAATATATTTTTAAAACAGATAACCTTAAAAGCAGCAAATAAGTTGAAGGTAAACTTTTGTTTCCTCAGCCATTTATAAAATTCTGGCTATTCTATCATGTACCGTAGTACCTCAGTACTCAATGGTTTTGAAAGTCAGCAAATTTGGTACTTGGCACATTTTGATGAGAAAATTTTGTCCTGATACTTGTCATTTGTTTGGTACTCAACACGCAAGGTAGAACTCGTTGGTGTCAATTGCCTCATGACTTTTTCCAGCCGAAACAAAGGGCAATGTGTTAGTCACATGGTAGCTCTTGCTCTGTGCACATCCCCTTGCATAAGCTTTGTGGTCATTTTGTGTATTTTTGTGCTGTTTTTTTTTCCCTCATCAATATAGGTAAAGTTAAGTTTTTATTTTATTTAATTCAAGTATTTATTGATTTTTTAGGTTTATTTCACATGTAAAGTAATGATATACAACCCTATCTTTTTATACATTGCCTTACAAAATAAGCATTGTCTTTGATTTGGGAACACATTAAATTTATTTACATTATTCCTTATGGGAAACTTTGGTACTCATCATTTTTGGTATTCACTGTGCCTCTCGGAACCAATTAACAACAAGTACCGAGGTACCACTGTATCACCCAGTACACTGGTTGGTTTATAAATATTTCTTGTTGCTAGGCCTTCAAAAGGCAAAATGTGCTCATATTAATTTCTACCTTTTATCTTCTTAATGCTACAAAAGAGGTCCCCGGAATTTCGACAATGGCGATCAAGCCCATCGTTCTAATTTTCATCTACGGACAACTGTGGTGGAACTATGCCGCTGGAAAGACAAAAGGGCCTGCAAGTGTGTCGCTCAATGCTGAACCCCACAACTCTCCATTTCAAGGAAGTCAATCAAAAGACCTTATCAAAAATGAACAGCAATCGTCTTCCAGCAAGCCCCAGCTTCCCACCACAACAAAAGAACCTAAACTTGCAGATGAACATTTTATAGCTGCTGTGGTCATTGGGGTCATCTTGCTGCTCATGATCCTGATTATCGTTGCCATCTTCCTTTGGAGGCAACGGAAAAAGTCAAATGTACCTCTTCCCCACTGGGCAGGACGCTCCCCATTTGCCGATGGAGACATGCCTGACCTTACGGTAGATAAAGAACCTATACAAGGTATAAAGCGGATGTCCGTTCTCTCTCTTTTGCCGTGGAAATTTAGCAAGGATACACAACTGCTGGAAAATGCAGAAGGACAACTGTCTGAATCAAGGAAGACCTTGGATGTTCCACAGGGATCTGGTGAGGCAGGTACAGAGAGCGAGTCAAGCCACACTGCCACGGCAACCTTGGATTCTTCAACCAGCAACCAAACCCAAATTTCCGAGGAACTAAACAACTTAACCGGCATTTCACTTCAGCCTGAGAGTCCAAGGCTACAAGATCCTCCTTTGTCCAACTGGCCCAGTGGAGTCAATGGGGATATTTTTACTCCTAAATCCTATCCCATGGAACAACATGTAGAAATCCAGTGCTCTCTATCACCTGATCTGTCCCAACAAAATGTTGATGAAACAGTGTTACTTCCTCCACCGCCAGAAGAATTTTTGTGTAACTGATTTTTATAGATATTGGAGCAAACACTGATTTCATACAGTGAAACAAAATGGAGGAGGTTCATTTAGTTTCAACTTTCTATACGGGTAGTCCTTGACTTACAATTGGTACCAGAATTTCTGTTGCTAAAGAAGGTGGTTGTTAAATGAGTCGCGCCCAGTTTTATGATCTTTTTTGTCACCGTTGTTAAGCAAATCACAGAAGTTAAGTGACTCACATATCATAAAGTGAATTCAGCTTCTCCTTTTGACTTTGCTTTGCCCACTGGGAAGGTCACAAATGGCAACTACGTGACCCTGTGACACCACAACCATTGTACATACATGCCAGTTGCCAAGCACCAGTATTTTGATCATGAGACCTGTGGGGATGAAGACAGTCATAAATGCAAGGACTGGTTGTAAATCACTTTTTTCAGTGCCGCTGTAATTTCAAACAGTCACTAAATGAATGGTTGTACGTTGAGGAATACTTCTACTTCCAAAAATGCTTTCAGGAAGACCCCTTAAGCAACTTACTCTACAGTCTCTAATATTCCAAAATGAGCCTTACTTGCAAAGACAGACTTCAGAAACACCTGCCCCATGGATTTATGCTCCTACATTCTTTCATTTGGAAAATGAGGAGTTTTTTGTTTTTTTTTTAGCCCTTATCACCCTGGAATCCTTCTAATCTGGTGTGAACTTTTCTAATAAAAAACCTACACTTAATGTGACTATTTAGTGCTTTTAAATAATCACTCAGCAGTGTGGAGGTTTGACATTGGTGCCTGCAGTTTGAAGCTGACCCTTTCGAGAAATTTTCTCTTTTGAAATTATACCACAACCACATGGAAATTTCTGCACAGCTTCTGACTTAATTGTCATTTTGAATTTCATAATTCTTTTCCTTCCCTTATTACCCTCAGACCAGCGGTTCCCATCCTTTTCTATACCCCGCAGCCCTAGAACGCTTCTGATGTATTCTCGCATCTTTTACAAAAGTTCAAAATAATAGCAATTAATTATGCATATACAATATAATTTAAAAAAACCCAAGTTTTTGCACCACCTGGAATATTCTCTCGTACCCCCAGGGGATGCGAGCACCCCCAGTTGGGAACCCGTACCTTAGACCTTCAGTTGCGTCCTGTCTACCCACAAAGTTATCAAGAGTTTATTCCCTCCTAGTTTACATTTTGCTTGAAAGCCTATTTATATATCTTATCTAAAAAGCTGTGCCAAAAGCACTTGACCATAAACTGAACTACTCCTGGTTTCCAAATTCTTATACCTTTGCCAACTGTGATACATTATGTTCTATTACTCATATTAACTGGGAATGATAAGAATACTTGTTGGCTTCATCTTTAGTGTGGGATGGGTTCACAGGTTGTATTTGTGCAATTGCATTTCTACCCATAGAGAAGCATGACAATTGTTCTATTAATCAAAGAGGATCAGATTACTAACTTTCAAGAGATCAGGACTTCTTTTACTACCAAAAGAGCCACAGCTTTATTCTCTCACAAGGACAATTATTCCTAGATGCACTTCAAGAAAGATTTTAGTCCAGTTGTCACAAAGCATTAGAAACCTTAAGCCAGCTTTCCTTAAGTTTGCTGGCAAATTGTATGAATCGCCATCCCAAAATAGTTTGAAGTATTTGAAGAACCATAAAGAGATTTCTCCTTAGTGTTGTTAAACTTCAGCAAATATTTGCAATTATTTTAAACTAGCCTGGGAAGAATTTTGTTTGGGAGAGTTTTTACTAAAGGAATGCTACAAGTGATCAGAAGCAAAATTTGGGAAGTCTGGCCTTAAGTCAGACATGAGATACAAAGACCAAATTTTTGTCTTCAGTGGGTCACTGAGAAATGTATGAATGAGACAAGAAAGAAAATAGTACGTTTGTTGCTACAAACAAAGTTATACAATAAAATGAATCAGCCTGAATGATTAAATGTTTTATGGAAACACAGAGTTGAAAATTGGTGGCTGAATGAGATAAGAGGGGGATATGATGGAAGGAAACCCAGTATGAGAACAAATAGCATATTTGGTTCAACACTGAGCAGAGGGCAAGACAAAACTGGGTGATATTCCTTTGCTTCTTTAATGCACTTATCAAGAATGTTTTTGGTGTCATTAGAAATATTTTGGGCAGAGAAATGAAAACTTGGTTGCAGTTACTGTAACTCTAGTAAAGGCAGTACAACCAATTATTGAATCTCAGGAGGCAATTACTGTTTCACAGTGCTATGTCACAGGCCGCATAATTTTGTAAAGAAATGTATGAAATAAGCATTGTCTACTTGTTTGTTCAGACTTCCTTTACGTATCAGCAGGACCCCTATAAAGCCTTGATAACATTTGGAGATAAAGATTGGGGGGGGGGAAATGAGAGAAAACTGTACATTAGAGCAGGGGTCTCCAACCCCCGGTTTGTGCATGCCAACAAGGGGCTGCACAAACAAGCAAAACCCCATCCTCGGGATGCAGGCAATATTCAAAACCATACCCCCTCTGGTCCAGGGAAAAACCTTTCTCCATGGCATTGGTCCCTGGTGCCCAAAAGGTTGGGGGCCTCTGCACTAGAGTTCCTAGTGCAGGTGATTTAACTCAGTTTAGTTTTCCAGGGAGTCTTGAGTAGGTGGGTAAACACTGTTTAGACCCAATGTGTGCTAACCCCTACATCGGATCTCTGCACGAGTTTTAGAGAAGTAAGCCTTCCTTATTTTTAAAAGCATTTTCCTGTTTGAAATGATTCATCTGGCTTGATTGGATAATGCTTGTATAATTTTCTTGTTTTTACTTAACTAGGATTTCCCCCAGAATTTATAACTATCTTGTATCATGGGACTTCACTTCGTCAAAGTAACTTTATGGTAACTACATAGCTGTACTGCTAATAAACTTCATCTGTATCATGTCTGCTGTTAATCTGCACGTTTCCAATTGTTAAGTAATGGAAATAACCAGATAGGAAAACTATTTCCTGATAGAAAAAATTCTGATTTACTCTGTCCTTCAGGGAATTCATGTGTTTGAGTGGATGTATGAATCCAGACAGATTCTCATAAAATATTCCACGCTTGCTTCAAACACACTGAGTTGATACTGAACATAATTCTTAAGTTAACACATTGCAGTAAATAATTCTTTATTTATTGAATGAACTGCAATTGGCTGGGTTCACACAATATTCTAAAGTAAAATCAAACAGAACATATTACAGGGCATTGTGATATATGAAGAGAGAGAAAGAGAATGAGTATGAGAATAAACAATATATAAAGTTCATTTGTTCACATAACACGAAAAATATATCATGCTATAACACATGATCTGCTTAACTATGATTTACTGAATTAACAATAAACCCCAGTTTATAAATCACTCTTCCATAAAAATCATACATGCTAATCCTCAAACAAGTAAGCCACCTTATGGTTTATGTGTTGTGTGAATCCAGTTAAGGTCTCTGTAATTTCATCCATAAAATGGGGTTAGAGCAAATAGTACTTGATTACTCGGATCACAAGGCGAGTTCATGAGGAATTACATTTAATTAAATGCTCAATTAATTAAAATTGAAGGCTGAAATATTAATGACAGGGAAAAGGCAGAACTGTGTTTACAACTGAGCCAAACCACCAGCCCTATTCCATGCAAGAATACACAATTATGTGTTGGTCCAGATACACCTGTTAGCTATACAAAAACTGTTGTTTATTCTTCTCAAAGGACTTGCAAAACAGGAAATTGGCATTTCAAATGTGGCCAATTTCTTGTTAAATATGCAAACAACGTGCAACTTACTTTCCTTCCACCCAGCAATCATTGTAGTTGTTCACATTGTCCACATATTCACACGGAAACTGGAACTGTGAGTGCTACAATGATCCTACAACCATAAAAAGGTTCCTCCTGGTCTGGTTTTGCCGGTGTCATCTGTGCCCTCCGACTGTCCTCTTCCCAGACACCAATAATGCAGGTGACGAGAAATAGAAACCCCGACTAGGGCACAGGTAGTGGTACAATTATGACTACAATTAAGTCCAAAATTTATGTTGCTAAGCGAGAGAGTTGTTAAGCGAGTTTTGCCCAATTTTATGACCTTTCTTGCCATAGTTGTTAAGTGAACCCCTTAACACTGATAGCACTGCTCCAATATCTCCGGGGCTGCCACAAAGAAGAGGCAGTCAAGCTGTTCTCCAAAGCGCCTGAAGGCAGAACAAGAAGCAACAGATGGAAACTAGTCAAGGAGAGAAGCAACCTAGAACTAAGGAGAAACTTCCTGACAGTTAGAACAATTAACCAGTGGAACAACCTGCCTCCAGAAGTGATGAATGTTCCAACACTGGAAGTTTTTAAGAAGAGACTGGACAGCCATTTGTCCAAAATGGTATAGGGTTTTCTGCCTGAGCAGGGGGTTGGACTAGATGACCTCCAAGGTCCCTTCCATCATCATCATCATCATCATCATCATCATCATCATCATCATCATCATTAACCTCCTTCACAGGCTTGAGAGATCTAGGGCAGCAGCAACCAAGGCTGCACCCCTGCCTTGCACCACCGTGACTCCAGTATGGATTGCTCCACTTCTAGGCAACCCTCAATATTCAATCCTATTCTTGTCCCCAAATGGCTCTCCCTGATTCCATCCTATTTGCCAATGTTCCTTGTCAAGCTCAATTCCCACAAGAGTGGTATGAGGGATTATTTGGAGGGGGGGAAAGAGAGAGAGTATTTAAGCATTTTAAAATATTTTTTTGCATACTTGCAAATCTCTGCTTTGTCTGTCTCCCTACCTCACCCAGTGCATACATGATGACTGCTTGTTTATACAGCCAAATTAAGGTTCCTGTGGCTTGCATATCAGAAATAGAGGGGATTACCCTGTGCTGGATCCTCAGTTTCTCAAAAGGAAATTTTGTTTTTGGTTTTTTTTGGGGGGGGGGAACCAGAAGCCACGCCATTTCTGCTATCTGGGTGCAACTAAAAAAGCATTACGGAGGATTGCAATGCAAGCAGATAATTACTGAGACAGTGTCTGCCAGAAAAGAGCCCAGCATTGCAGAAGCCTGTAGTAGCCCAAAACTGTAAAATAAGTAGTAGCTTCAATGCTGCAAAGTACATAAAAGATCATAGAGTGAAATAGATAAAATTAAACATGTTCTTGGACCAAGAAAGATCTTCCCAGTTTAATCAAACAGAGAACTGCCCATAATACGCACTATGCCCTAACCCAGGGGTAGGCAACCTTGGCTCTTTCTTTTGTGGACTTCAACTCCCAGAATTTCTGAGCCAGCCATGCTGAGGGGAAAGGGAGAGGTTTCCATGCTGAGCCATGCTGGCTCAGGAATTCTGGGAGTTGAAGTCCACCAGTCATAAAAGAGCCAAGGTTGCCTAACTCAAGAAGCAAGTTGCAAGCATACCATTAAAAGTGAGGCTGCAATCCTGTAGCTGAGCAAAGATGAAGGAATTAACATTAGTATAAAAATGGGTACAGGTAGTCCTTGACTTACGAGCACAATTGAGCTCCAAATTTTCCGTTGCTAAGCGAAACATTTAAATGAATGTTGTCCCATTTTACAACCTTTCTTGCCACAGCTGTTAAGTGAATCGCTGCAATTGTGAAGGCTACCAGCGTGAGTGAATTCTGGCCTCCCTACTGACTTCGCTAATAAGGAGGTTGCAAAATTTTATCACATGACCCTGGGACATTGGAACCGTCATAAATATGAGTCAGTTGCCAAGCAACCCAACTTTGATTACGTGACCATGGGAATGCTGAAACGGTCGTTAAGGATGGAAAATGGACATAAGTCACTTTTTTCTGTGGCGTTGTTAACTTTGAATGGCCACCAAGTGAACTGTTGTAAGTCAAGGACTGCCTGTATCTCCAAACAGGACCAAGTTCTATAAAAAAAGGCGCCCGTTTTCAGGGCTCTAGTTGATATGATGTAATCTTTTATGCAATGGTTCAAGGTGAACACGTGTCCGTAGCAAGATGTTTAGTACTAGTTCAATTTTTTACTATGTTGACAATTTATGAAGGATGATGCAGGAGGAGGAGAAGGAGGAGAAGGAGGTGGTACAATCACAGATAATCTAATGGGTGTTGGACTGCACTGAATCCAAGCTGATCTCATCCACAGTGCAGGCCTTGATCAGTATGGGGATATTTGCCTCCCATTCAGCATCCGATTGCTGAATCCTGCTTCTAAAAAACCTCAAGAGAATTGCCTGCAAGGATGAAACCGCAGCACTGGAAGTGATTACTCCAATTATATTACTCACTCAAATGTGTCCGGCATTTATACCCACATCGATATTTCTCCACTTATTAAACTTAGGACCATTCATCTTGGTTTGCAAGATAGGAATCAATTTGATACGCACTTGTCATCCCCAAGTGAAAGATTCCTTCAAACCTTACCCTGGGGCAAGTGCCTGCAACAATCTCGGGTTGTTGTTATTATTACGGTAGGAAAACACAAAGCACAAGCAATAACCTAGCGCAGTGTTTCTCAACCTTGACCATTTTAAGGCATGTGGACTTCAACTCCCAGAATTCCACAGCCAGCGTTGCTGGCTGTGGAATTCTGGGAGTTGAAGTCCACATGCCTTAAAATGGTCAAGGTTGAGAAACACTGCGCTAGCGAATACCAATGACATAACTCCTCACCAAAATAACTGAGGTAAACTCCACTGCAGGAATCATCAACTTTTTCAGGCCACAAATAAACACATTTGAAGAAAAAGAGAGCATACGAGATTTCAGCTGCTTTTAAACATATCATAGATTCACAAGATTGAAAGAAACCATGGAGATCTTCTAGCCTTACCAACCGCCCAGGCCAAAATCCTCAGACTACACTACACAAATAGCTGCCGAATTTGGCTTGAGAACCTCCAGTGTTGGAGGACCCATGACTTCAGGCTGTTCCACTGCTTGACAGCTCTCACAATGAGGAAATTCCTCCTTACTCTAAGGTTGGATCTCTCTGTGTAACGCTTACACCCACTGAGCCCTCAGTTCTTGTCCTACCTTGAAACCCTACAAAGAATAATTTATCTCCTCTTCCCCAGGAAAACCCTACAAGTATTGGAACACGGCTAGCAGGTCTCCTTGGCCTTCTCTACTTTAAATGTACCCAGCCCTTTTAACTAATCTTCATAAGATTTGGTCTTCAAGCCCCTCTCTATCTTCATTATTCTTCTTTGCACTTTTTCCAGGTTCTCAATGTCTTTCTGGTATTGTGATGGTCAGAACAGTGTGTGTGTGTGTGTGTGTGTGTGTGTGTGTGTGTGTTTAAATGCTCCATATTTATTTATTTTTTTTACAAAAAAGTTGGGGCAATGTAGACGTTAGCACCATTTTAAGGAACAACGAGCAGCTTGGGCCCAAGACATTACATTTTAGTGGTTTATTAAAAATAATCAGCTGAACTTGCCTACCTTGCAAGAGTGGTTTTTTTTAAAGTTTCTTATCTGGCGGAAATGGCAAAGATTTCGGCTTTCTTAAAGGAGCAATCGCAAGAGAAATTCTTTGCGGTATGGGAAAAATGGATAAATTTTATACAATATAAACTGGATATAAAAAAATATCATTTAGCTTTTTAATAACTTGTATATAAATTTTAATATTTTATAGATTGTACTTTTTTATATCTCTTTTCTTCTTTCTTTTTTCTTTTTTTATTATCTCTTTTTCTTTCAAGTATTTTTTCTTTTTAATACTTATGCTTTTTTCTTACATATATTTTATTGTTAATTACTTCATAAGTTGTTTATGTAAGGTATTTAGATATATTCATGATTTATACTTTTTCAATTTTTTTAAGATTCTTAAAAATTTTAATTAAGCCTATATTCAGCTCTGGGAAGGTTGGAGGGGAGGAGAGGGAGGGTTGGGGTGGGTGGGTTAGGGTTGTTTTTTTGTTTTTTGCTTTTTGTAAAAATATTTAAAAATTTCAATAAAAAAAAAAAATCAGCTGAAATGAAGTGGCGCTATCCAAGAACATAGGGGACAGTTGTGGTAAGAAGCGAAAGCAAGATTTGCAAAGGGAATAACTAAAACCCGCAAACTAACTTAAGGAGTGGAAGCGTGGGAGGTGGCGGGATTGTGTGGGTGAACAAGAAATGGCACAGAATTATTTTGTGCACCAGAAACCACTTGACTAGCAAAATGTTGATCCTCCCTGCCCTGAAATCCAGAAATCAGCACTCAAGACCACTCACCAACTTGAAACACATTTTGGAATGCACCTTAAACAAGAAGTGAGATTAAAGCTCACTTCTCTTCTTTGTCCCTTCCTAACTAGACCCATGTTTTGGTTTTTCTGAAAGGTCCTACAGGTGGTCAACGGCTTACAACAGTCCGTTTAACGACTGTTCAAAGCTACATCATCACTGAAAAAGTGACTTATGACTGTTTTTCCACATTTACCGTATATGCCGGCGTACAAGGCGACCCGGCGTATAAGACGACCCCCATCTTTGTTGCCGAGTCGCATTCCTAGAACGTCATCTTATACGCCAGAAACTACCAGTATTTCCGGCGTATAAGACAACTCGGCGTATAAGACGACTTGGCGCCGATTTTAATGCTTGCAGAAGTCGCCTTATACGCCGGCGTTTACGGTATGTCCATTTCAGCATCCCCATGGTCACGTGATCAAAAATCAGACAACTAACTCATACTTATGACGGTTGTCGGGTCCAGAGGTCATGTGATCAGCTTTTGTGATCTTCTGACAAGCAAAGTCAATGGGGAAACCATTGTTTCACTTAACAGCCATGTTACTAATTTACTAACTGCAGTGATTCACTTAGTACCTGTGGCAAGAAAAGTCATAAAACCGGGCAAAACTCACTTAACAAATGTTTCACTTCGCAACAGAAATTTCGGGCTCACTTGTGGTTGTAAGTTGAGACTACCTGTATTTGCTTGTGCCAAGGGGCAACAAGCAAGAGAGCAGTTCTTTGCCCAACTGGTCAGAAATGAAAGGTCATTAATTAGGGGATTTAAGGATGGTTGAGAGAGAGAAGGAAAAGAAATATAAAACAGATTTATCTGATTATTGTTAAATAACGAGTCATTTGTGGTGATGCTGAATGGTTATCTGGATTGGATAGACTTTCATTCTGGAAAATATCTAACAGAGTAATTGATATCTAAATAAGGGGTTATTACTTAAGGAAATGTTTATGGGTTTTTAATTTTTTGGGGCAATATTTAATTTTTTAGAGAGGGGAACTTTCCCCTTATGGAAAGGGGACTGTACTTATGTCATTTGGTATTTTTGTTCACTTTTACCGGATCTTTGCTGACTAATAAGGAGAGCTGAAGATTTAGAAATGAATTTATAGAAAATGGGGTGACGTGTGGAATAAAGAGGTGTTTGGTTGTATTTTAAGAGACAGTGGTAAGTTGCTCATGTTGAATATACCTGTTGGAGGATAAAGAGGGGAAATTTCTCTTCCTTCCTTCCCTCCCCCACTCCCTCCCTCCCCCCCTTGGGTTCTGTTCTCTCTAAGTATTTTTCCTTTTTTAATATGTTTTTATATAAGCTCTTAGTACCTGTTTATATAAGCTGTTTGTATCTGTTTTATATAAGCTATTTGTATCTGTTTAATATAATCTTTAATAAATTGTGCTAAAAAAAAGAAATGAAGGCCGATTAATCATCTGCACCCACACTCCCACACTACACCAATTCTTGTTGTAAAATGGAAATTCCAAATTACCTATAAGTGGCAACTTTCGAAAATCACAAGAACCATCAACTGCACTCAAAAAAATCTTGCTTTACGATTGGCAATAGCAATTTACAAAAAAGTTCACTAGCGTTCTAAACCAAGGAGTTTTTCTGCCTAAAGAAAAAATACGTTGGTCTATATTTTACCAGAAAAGTTGAGCTTTCACAGCAATCCACAAATACAGAAAACTCAGAAAAAGTCCTGTTCCAGTCCAGAGGATTTAATTTGTTACTACATGCTGAATTTACCGAAGTCCCTGCCACGATGCAGAGATGGCGACTAGATTAAATGACTTCATAATAATTTCATGAAGGGGAGTATCAACTGCCGCCATCACAGAGGTTTTATGAAAACTGTATATTTAGAAATAATCTCTCTCTCTGAATGATAGAGAGGTCTCATTTCCTATAGGCTTCCCAAAAAAGCAGAATTCTGAATTAGATGGACCTCTTCAGTCCAATCTAAACATTATATAATGCTGTTCTGATGAGAGTGTCAGTGTGCCTAGTAAATCAGGAGTAGGCAACCTTGGCTCTTTTATGACTCATGGATTTCAACTCCCATAATTCCTGAGCCAGCCATGCTGAGGAGAAAGGGAGAGGTTTCCAAACTGAGCCATGCTGGCTCAGGAATTGAAGTCCTGGGTCATAAAAGAGCCAAGGTTGCCTACCCTTGGTCTAGTTGGTTAAATAAAGACTAAAGCTCCCTTGACGTACAACAGTTAATTTAATGACATTTCGAAGTTACAACAGCACTGGAAAAAATGACCATTTTTCACATTTACAACCGTTGCAGCATCTCCATGGTCACATGATCAAAATTCAAACACTTGGAAACTGACTCACATTTATGACGGTTGCAGTGTCCTTTTGCAACCTTTTGACAAGCAAAATCATTGGAAAAGCCAGATTCACTTAACAACCATGTTACTAATTTAACAACTGCAGTGATTCCCTTTACAACTGTGGCAAGAATGGTTATAAAAATGGGGTCAAACTCACTTAGCAACAAAACTTTTGGGCTCAATTGTGGTCGTAAGTCGAGGACTACCTGTAGGTAGAATGCAAGTATACTGATAGGATAAAGGAAAACTGGGCTCAAGATAGGTTTAAGATTCAGATGGATCTTAACAGACTTGAACTGGGCTCCTTTTAACAAAATGAAATTCAGTGGAGAGAAAAGTAAGGCTTTACACTCAGGCAAGAAAAACCAAATGTACAAGTACAGATTAGGTGAAATTTGGCTCAATAGCAGTAACTGTGAGAGTATCTTGGGAGTCCTAGTGGATAGTCATTTAAATATGAGCCAACATTATGCTGCAGTTGTCAAAAAAGCCAATGCAATCCTAGGCTGTTTTAACAGAGGGATAGAATCAAGATCGTGTGATGTGTTAGTACTGCTCGATAATGACTTGGTAAGACCATACTTGGAATACTGCATCCAGTTTTGATCACCACAATATAAAAAGATGTTGAGACTCTGGAAAGAGTGCAGAGAAGAGCAACAAAGATGATTAGGGGGCCAGAGGCTAAAACATATGAAGAACAGTTGCAGGAATTGGGTATGTCTAGTCTAGTGAAAAGAAGAACTAGGGGTGACATGATAGCAGTCTTCCAATATTTGAGGGGCTGCCATAAAAAAGAGGGGGTCGACCTATTCTCCAAAGCACCTGAAGGCAGTACAAGAAATAATGAATGGAAACTAACCACGGAGAGAAGCAACCTTGAACTAAGGAGAAATTTCCTGACAGTGAGAACAATTAACCAGTGGAATGGCTTGCTTTCAGAAGCTGTGGGTGCTCCATAACTGGAGGCTATTAAAAAGAGACTAGACAGCCATTTGTCTGAAATGGTATGAGGTCTCCTGCTGGAGCAGGATGTTGGACTAGAAGACCTCCAAGGTCCCTTCCAACTCTGTTATTCTGTTCTGTTCTGGGAGTGGGCACGGAGGTTTAACTTTGCAGCCTAAAGCCATAATTAGACTCCTGCATCACTGCATGTCAGGGAATGTATGTATCTGTCCTTCTGAGACAGTTGCATAGCTGTTGCATAGCATTTTATTATTTTAATATGCCTTGCCTTTTGCCCGCCTCCCAACAGGAAGCCGGACCAATCAATCAACATACAGGACACCACAATGCGTAGCTGAGATTTGGGGTATGTATATCACAGCCCGTCAGCAGCCATCTGCAACCTACACTTCCCCATCAACCACTTCACAACGTGAGTATGCGTCAATGCCTATGCGCAGTTGCAGATAAGTCTAAATCAGTGGTTCTCAACCTTTTTAATGCCGCGACCCCCAACCGGTCGTAAGTCGAGGACTACTCAACCGGTCGTAAGTCGAGGACTACTCAATTGGTGCAGCACCGTTTGGAGAATGGGACTTTTGGCGGCTCAACAGGGCAGAGACAGCCTGGACAATTCCTATTGGCTTTTGAAAGCCAATAGAATTAGACTCTATTCAAGAGAGTCTATTCTATTGGCTTTCAAAAGCCAATAGAATAAAAGGGAGTAGCATAGCTAAGGAAAAGGGGGAAAAAATGGCGGACTGCGTAGTTTGGCGACCCTCGTGAAATGGTCATTCGATCCCAAATGGGGTCCTGACCCACAGGTTGAGAACCACTGGTCTAAATCCAGCTTCAGCCTTAGTTCTAAACAGGTTTCCAAACCTTGGCCATTCCCAGGTATTTGGATTTCAAGTCTCAGAATTCCACAGCCAGTATGGCTAGTGAATGAACATTCTGGGAGCCAAAGTCCACCTACTTGGAAATAACCAAGGTTGGGAAAAACTGATCTACATCCTTAGGCTCTACACATACAAGCGAAGTCTTTGTCTGAAGGAGCACATTATTTTTGGACCATGGAAGAGGACGTTAATAACGGAAATTTTTTGTCTAGAAAGACTATACTGAGAAAAAGACAGGAGCTGAAGTCTACATTAAACTGGAAGAGATATTTAAATCTCTTCACAGAAGGAAAAAACAAAATCACTGTGGCTGTGATAGTAAAATTTAGCCTTCTTCTTAATCTAGATTAAAGCTATCATCAACTTTAGTTACCCGCACTCAGTGGCAGTTTGGTCAAAATGAGCCAAAAATGCAAAGCATGCTAAAAATATAGTTAAGTACATATCATTATGGCAGTGTATTTTTAAAATATCGACAGAAATAGAATAAAGTAAGGAAATATAGCTGAAAAAAAATGAAGTTTTATTGCTTCTTTTTATGTACACATGGGCTTTCTAAAATTCCTATGCATCAATCACTAATTCTCAATTGGCTAAATGTTATTATGTGCTATTAAAACCGCCTGTTTTGCACAGGACAGCAAGTTTTAATAAACTGTTTCTTAAATCGTGCTAGGAATTTTCAGATTTTTCCATGAAAATGGAAGGGACAATGGGAGTTGAAAGGAATTGAGGCTGAGCGGTGACTCACATGAGCTTCTGAAAGAGAAGATGAGGCTGGACTAAATGATCCTTGGATCCCACTACAGCCTTGTGAAATAATTTTCATTTAAAACTGCCAGAGTCTTTTTTTTTTCTTTTTCTTTTAGAGTTTCCATTTGGAAACGTAGGTGTCATGGTTCCGACAGATGAAACTAACATAATGCTAACATCGGATGTTTTGCATTGACAGTAGGATGATTTCAGAAAGACAAAATGCTTAAACACAAAGACAGAAGGAAAGAGCCAAAGACTGATGGAACTTAAAGCCTAATAAAAAAATAACCACAAGTGCAGATAAAAAGGTGGAACTGGATGCAATTTGCACAAAGTACGTACGCTGCATCTTAACGCCCTGAGAGACATCCCAGAAGAAGAGACAGAGGGGGAACGTAATATAAGAAGTTTAGAAACTTGGCTTTCCCCAAAAAAAGGGACTGCCCATTTTGTTGAGCATGCACCCCTTGCAATAAATTTGAGTCAGCACTACAACAACAGCTCTGCAGTCTTCCGAAGGGAAGCTGATCAGGTGGTTGCAGAGCCCCTGGAAACGGCAGTACGATGCAGCTGAAGAGGCAAAGCACAACCCACAGACAAACTGTGGCTCGCCTGGAGAGCAAACCGACCTTTGCATCTCAATCTTCCAGGGAAATGATGCACTAAGCCTACAGCAGAGAGAGTGGGGTAAGTTGCTTTGGCTGTCCTCTTGCCTCCTTTTACGAACCAATCCTCTTGCCAGAAAACGAGGTGTATGTGCACTGGGGTGTATGTGCCTAAAGTAAAAAAAATAAAATAAAAATCGAGAGAGACAGAGAGAAAATACTGGAGAAGAAAACTGTCGCTTAACTTGGCAGTTCCCTGCGCCAGCAATCTGCTGCAGTGACAGCTACAAAATCTCCGCTTAAATCTTTGATTTGGTCCTGAAAATGTTTCTACCTTGTAGAGGGGAACGGGGCTAGAGTAAGAATGGAGGAGAGAGGAAAGGCAGGCAGGGAAGCATGCCTTAATATTCTCCAAATGCATTTTGAGGATGGTTGATAATATTCTCAACAATTTCTAAGCGTGCCTTAAATTGCTCCTGGTGCATTTTGGAAGCATGGGTGCTATTTGCTCTTGCATGCCTTATCTACGGCGTGGATATGGGAACTTATAACAACTGCTGGCATTTTAAGACCTGACGCTAGATCCAGCTCAGTCTGCCTGCCACCTTCGCACAGAAGCATCATTTTGTAGGAGAAAGAATATCCGACAAACAACCCGGGGATTCAGATTGCTCTCGAGAGAAAGCAGACATTGTACAACACTTGGAAGAGCCTAGCAGTTTGGGAAGAATGCTACTATTAGTAGCTAGAGGAGGATGGGAGAGTGGAAGGGGAGGGGGGGGGGAGATGAGATGGAAACAGATCAGGCTGCTCTGACAGACAGCAAGACAGGAGGTTGGAGAGCTTCCCTGGAAATAAGAATGTTTTTCTGCACCATTAAGGACGATGCCACAGGGATACGCCACAGGGGTGCAGGTATGTCTGACTTTATTAAAATGCAACTTCACTGGCAAGGGTTAAGGGTGTTCCCCCCCTCAAAAAACAGCCAGCCTTCTAAAATGTGTGATAAACTGGTTATGTGTTACACGTTTGCTTCTAGGCAACAATGGAGAACCGGATCTTGAAGGCATCACTTGGCATCTTGGTTCTTCTCGTCTTTATACCAGCCGTTCAGGGTATTTGTCCTTCTTTGTGTTCATGCTCAGGAAATGATAGAAACGTGGACTGTTCTGGCAGAAACCTGACCACGCTGCCATATGGACTTCAGGACAACATTACCTATTTGAATCTGTCATACAACCACTTTGTGGATCTCAACCACCAGCTGACTCAATTTGCAAATTTGAGAACATTAGATGTTTCCAACAACTGGCTTCGGAGCCTTCCAGCTCAACTGCCCAGGTCCCTGTGGGAAATCTATGCCACGCACAACAGTATCAAGGTCCTCCAAAAGCTTGACACGGCTTACCAGTGGAATCTTAAAGTCCTCGATGTGTCAAGGAATATGGTGGAAAGGGCTGTACTTATTAACAACACAATGAGCAGCCTTGTGTTCCTCAACCTCAGCAGCAACAAGCTTTGGACTGTCCCCACCAACATGCCCATCAATGTGGAGACAGTGGATCTATCCAACAACTTCTTGTCACAAATCCTTCCTGGCACACTGAGGAGACTCAGCAATCTTTCCCAACTTTATCTGCATAATAATAAGTTCACCCATATCCCTGACAACGCCTTTGACCAGCTTCTTCAGTTACAACTAATCACGCTTTACAACAACCCCTGGGCATGTGAGGATAAACAACTGGTCCTCTCTTATTTGCAGAATTGGACAGGAAAAACACATGCCACAGTCTTTGGGCTGCCATGCCCGGAGGACACCGTGTCATGGGAAGGCTCCGGCCCATTTTCAGCTACTCCAGCCATGGCTCAGAATCACCTCTTCGTTAAAGCCATAAAGGCAGTGGATACAACTGACTCTGGAGAAGCAACTGAACAGAGTGAATTAGCATATGAACAACAGTCCGGAATGACAGACATCGACGTAAACGCCACTGCTGACCCAACAATAGCCTTCACGAGCCCCGGCAGGTCACTGGTTCCCTACCCAGAAAATCTCAGCACAGAGAACCTACACAATTCTTTCGAAGTGGCTGCAGCCACACACATGGTCTACATCCAAGATACAACCTCTGTGAAGTCCAGCACAAAAAGTCTGGCCGAAGTCCCCACAATTCCTATGACCTTGAGGATCACCAGCGGGGTGCCTACAAACTACCCAAAGAAACAACAAAGCACAACAATAAAGAAAGAAGAACACACTACAAAAATTAGCCCTCGTGCACCCTCTAAAGCAAATGTGCCCAGGGGGTATTTGTTCTCTGCTGTAATACTTGCTGTGGTGGCCCTGGCAATGGGCAGTGAATTTGTGTTTAAATGAATGAATTGCTTCATTATTCCATATTAATAACATGTTGGGGGGAGGGGAGAGAAATATTCCTGTTCAAAATGAATTACTGTAGATGCAAGAAGAAATGCCTGTTTTTAAGATTCTGAAATATGACTGAAGAATATCATAACTTCTCTTGAATGGCTGCAGAAAATCACGTCTTGGTAACCAAGCTGCTACTTACTTAAATTATGTCTTACTGAATTAAGAAAATAAAAAAGGAAGAAAATTATACCCAATAATACAATTGTTTTTATGAAATGTGTTATTTTGTATTTACATTTTTAATTTTCTTCACAAAGATATTTAAAAATGTCGGTATTTTCTGTATTGATTATGAATAGTTTTGTCATTAAACATCTCGAAACAAAAACATTTGAAGGCCTGTGTTATACATGTACTGGCAGAGTTGCCAGACAGAAAACCTTGGAATATATAAATGCTAATTCTTTATCAAAGATGACGATGCATAAAGAGGGAAAAAAGGAGGGGGAGGGATAAAGATATCCAAAACACAACTACTTCTAACTATGGTTTATTGCCATAACGCTTATTAACATCCTAGAGGAGATGTGACATGAGGTTATTTGCCAGCTCCCATCAAGTACTGATTTAGTATTAATATCTAATCGTTGTTTAAATAGGCCCGGGAGCCTGTAGTTCTTAAGATGTTGCTGAAACATTTTACTTATTCATTAGAGTTATACCATATTTCTCTTTCATTCAGAGCTGAAGGTGGTGCACAAAGGACTCTCCTCTTATTTTCCCCACAACAATCTTGAAAGGTAGACTAGCCTGAGAATAAATGATTAGCTCAATGTCACCTACAGTTTCCATCCCTGGGTCTCTCCTGGGCCAGCAAGGACTCTGACTGCTACTCACAGCAAACAGACAATGGTTTAAGTATTTAACACCTAGCCCATGACTCTCTTAACGTCATAACCTTTCACAACATAGGTTGAAAGCCAATGTCACCCCATGCTCATTCAGCATCAAGTTGGAGAGAGCTGACCTATTCTATTTCTTTCATCCAATTTCTATCTAAAGGTCAGCCCTACAAGGCAGGCGAGGTCAACCCCACAAGCGTAACATGGATTCAAGTATTGCTCTTTACTGCTGTAGAGTAGAATAATAGAATCTTGCGAGACCATTTTGAGTTTCTCTCTGCCCCTGCTTGCACTAAACAAAAATCCAGGGGTATTTTGAGTTTCTTTCGTGTGCTTTCCTCTTTGTCCCGCTGAGTAATATTTTCTGAAAGTTCCCCCTCTAACAGTTTACTCCCTCCCTCCTCATTTCTAAGGCCAGCTTTCCATTCTTTCACAGTACAGGAACCATTTTTCACTGATAAATGAACACAATGACTTAGTGCTCTGGAAACTAACAGGAAAGTTCAAAGCGAGCCAGTGTTGCATTTTTGAGGGCTTAGAACAGAGGTGGGGAACTATGGCCCCTTTATGACTTGTGGACTTCAGCTCCCAGAATTCCTGAGCCAGCCATGCAGTTCTGGGAGTTGAAGTCCACGAGCCATAAAAGGGCCATAATCCCCCTCCCTTGGCTTAGAACCACAAATGGAGATATATAAATATGCTTCCGTTATTTAATCAGATGAACATGGCATAAAGTGCCTGGCACGCCATGTAAGTGTGGGCACCCAGAGCAATTAAGAAACTATCTACATAGCTTTGGGTGGAGCCTGATTCCTGAAGGCATCCTTATTGCTTAATAGATGCCTTCAGAAAGTACAGCCTTGAATGATTACCCAAATCTCACATGTCCTTTGTTTAAGCATAATGCAGTTTCTATTCAAAAAGGAGGGAGGGAGGGAGGGAGGGAGGGGTTCATTATGAAACACTAACAAAAGGGGCGAGATAGAGGTGGAATTGCCATGAAGTTTCATGGACGAGAACATGGCTGGCTAGAAGAAGTCCAAGCCTTAGTATCTCCAGTTTGAAAAGGATCTGGGGAGCAAAGGATGGGAAACACCCTTCTCAGCAAAACCATCCTGGTGCGCTTCAGATACTGGAGTGTTATACGTATCAGTGCTATTGCTATTGCTACCACTCCCCAAATTTCCTGGCCGGCAGAGATAATGGCCATACCAGGTGGGAAATCAGGGAGATTGCCATCTCAATGTCTGAGAAAGGTTGGCATGGACCACACTGAATAGTGCAATATAAACTATCCCAGTGTTTTTCAAGCTTGGCAACTTGAAGAGATGCGGACTTCAACTCCCAGAATTCCCCAGCTAGCAAAACTGAAGAGTCTTGACATCTGCATCTCTTTGCTGGCTGGGAAATTCTGGAAGTCCGTGTGTCTTAAAGTGGTCATGGTTGAGAAACACTGAGTCGCTGAATTAACAGAGAAGCTGCAGGAAGTTCCTACTTGGTGAATATATTGAGGATGCTGCTCCACAGAGCTATCATTATGGTTCTGCTCTCTTTTCATTACTACCGTAGTTGGCAACGATGGGACCTTCCCAGCAATGATCGCTGCAAAGAAATCCAAGCCCGTTTCCCTTCTGAGAGGCTGTGGACAGCAGATCCCTGACCAGAATGTAAAATTTCTGAGCTGGATGCAAAAGGCAGAAGGGCAGGATTGGCATTAACAGCCTGACACGTGCCCTCTTCCTCCTCTGCAGCTTCCCCAACAGGTTACATACTGCAGCAGCCATTTCCATGGTTACCCGAAGCAGAGAATTCAGAAATGTAGGGCTGCTCCTCATTAGAAAACCATGTATTTATTTCCCCCACTGTGCATCAAGGAGAGTAGAATGGCAAAACAATGAAGGCAGGAGAATTAACAAGCTCGGCGCATTGTTAGAGAAACACAGCATGGCAATTTTGTAAAGACTAGTCGCAATGGGGTCACTCAGGGAAAGGAACAGCCAAGGGGTCTGGTGTCGCTCACCTGTGCCAAGGCCAGAAAGACAAAGTAAAAATAAGATGCAAGACACACACACACCTCCAAGTCCTATTAGCAGCCTTTTCTAAGTCAGAATAGGGCAAGAATCTAAAGAGGAATGAAGCAACAGCAATAGCATTTAGATCAGTGGTTCTCAACCTGTGGGTCGGGACCCCATTTGGGGTCGAACGACCATTTCATGGGGGTCACCAAACCACGCTGTCCGCCATTTTTTTCCCTTTTCCCTAGCTGTCCTACTTCCTCTTATTGGTGGCCACACCCACTTGGGGGTCACCACAACATGGGGAACTGTATTATGGGGTCACGGCATTAGAAAGGTTGAGAACCACTGATTTAGATTTATATACCGTTTCATGGTGTTTTAAAGCCCCCTCTAAGCGGTTTACAGAGTCAGCCTATTTGCCCCCAACAATCTGGGTCCTCATTTTACCAACCTCGGAAGCATAGAAGGCTGAGTCAACCCTGAGCTGGTCAAGATCGAACTGCTGGCAGTCGGCAGAGTTAGTCTGCCATTCTGCATTCTAACCACTGCACTACCATGGCAGATAATATTATGCTCTCCTTCGGAGAACAAACTGGGAATCAGGGCTGGCAAAGCCATCATTTTAGTTTAACCCTCCACATTTTTAAATAAAAGCAAAAGCTTCTTATTGCAGATGAATCCCAATCCATCCCCCAGAAGCCCTTCCTTCAGATTGTAGGAGCTGTGGTGGCACAGTGGTTAGAATGCAGTATTGCAGGCTACTTCACTGCTCACTGTCATCAGTTCAATCCTGACCGGCTCAAGACTGACTCAGCCTTCCATCTTTCCGAGGTCAGTAAAATGAGAACCCAGATTGTTGGGGGCAATGTGCTGACTCTGTATCTGTAAACTGCGTAGAGAGGGCTGTAAAGCACTATGAAGCAGTATATAAGTGCTATTCTCTTGTGAGAGCAAAGTTGGATAAACATACACAAAACCCACAACTGTAGTATTCCATTCCCGGAAATCTAAAGGCCAACTGCTTCCCTGCCCAGTGTTGAGAGATACGTGCAGACAGTCCTCAACTTACAACTGTAATTGAGCCTGCAGATGTGGTAGTAAGTTGTGACTGCTGAAAACAGGTCACCACATGATCACACCCAATTTTATGACTTTTTTTGCAGCAGCTGTAAAGCAAATGCTCTTAAGTGAACTCATGGTTTGCTATAGTGCATTTTTTTTGGTCAAAATACAGAAGTAAACACCAGTTTCCGCCCAAAATCTGGTAAACTGCAGTCACGTGAACATAGGATGCTGCAAACATCTGTAAATACAGGCCAGTTGCCAAGTGCCCAAAAGGCAGTCATGTGACAAGGGTGTGTGAGTGCCGTAACTTCGAATCTGGGTTATAAGTAGCTTTTTCGGATGCCTCGTAACTTCAAACAGTCCCTATGCAGCAGTTGCAAATTGAGGACGACCACTATTTTGGTTTAAGACCCAGCTGCAACACTGCCATATATAGAGAGAGACACCCGGCAAAATAACTCTCATTCAGGAGGAAACCTTTACCATCTTAGCCAAGTATTTCTTGTGCTTTTAATTCTTTCAGGCATTGCTGCTCATTTTCTGATAGGATTCCCAAAGAAAGGAGAAGGATGCTAGCAGCCACAAAGAAAGGCAGGGGAAGAGAATGTAAGGTTCAGGATCATATGCAGGTATTAATTCATCAATGTTATACATTGATAACTACGGTGCTGCAATGGGTGCTGCAATGGTCACCGTGAAGTTTCCGGACGGAATTCAAAGTGCTGGTTTGGACTTAAAATACCCTAAGGCAGGGGTTCTCAACCTTGGCAACTTTAAGACTTGTGGACTTCAACTCCCAGAATTCCTCAGCCAGCTTTGCTGGCTGAGGAATTCTGGAAGTCCACAAGTCTTAAAGTTGCCAAGGTTGAGAACCCCTGCCCTAAGGCTTGGCACTGACAGGACTATCCTCTCCACACAGAAACAGCCACTGAACTCATCCAGTATGGAGTTGTTGCCAAACTTCCCCCAGACAGATGGGGCAAAGGGGCAGTCTTCTTTGGCGGCAGTCTTCATATTACATAACAGCCTCTGGACATTAGGTTGGCACCGTCACTACTGGCTTTCTAGAAAGTATTAAGACAGAATGTTTGAGAGGGCTTTAGGGTGTAGATAATCCCCATTGCCCTGAGTGTTGTTCTTTTCTTGATTTTGTAGGTGTTCAAACCCAAGAGATTATTTTTCAAAGAGGCCCTCTCATCTATTAACTTCTGGTTTCTTGCTAATCTTTCTTCAAGTCAGCAGTATGTTGA